TCCGTGCTGGGCGTTGAGCTGCTCGGCAACCTGCTGGCCAATCTCGAGGATATCGCCGAGCACGACCTTGCCGCCCTTGTCGGTGATCATCTCAGCCAGACGCTTACCGAAGCCGCGCGACCCGCCGGTGATGACTGCTACCTTGCCGGAAATCTGCATTGCCTGGAAATAAAGTGTGTGCTCAAAAAGAGAAAAGGGAGGCTGGCGAGAAGAGGAATATGTGTGGGCGTTCAGTGGGCGGCCTTGTGCTTGTGTTTTATAGCCGGCTCTGCTCCGTTACTTGCCGCCTTCCCCCTGAGCCGCACAGCCGCTGTCACAAAGCAGGATTAGCCTGTGCTGCTGTCGGGCTCCGACGTGCTAGTGCAGCAAATAAAGACACTTGTTCACGAGCCACTAGCCCGTGTTTGCAGATCCAAAGTCGCAGGCGCAGAGCGGGGGATGCTTTGAGCCCCGAGCCGGTCCGTTCGCGCCCCCCGAGCCCCCGTGGCCTCCGGTTTTTCTGGCCCTGAAGGACTATCGACACAGGAAAGAAGCGGCATACCCATCGTCGCCACAAAGGGCTATAGGCACAGGCACACTATGCAGACACGCTCTGGCGGATGGACGGGGCCATTTGGACAGGAAAAATCCTGCCATAGGTTAAATTGATTCTTGCACGTACAAATGGATAAGGTAAACAGGAAAAGCAGTGCTCCTAGACTGCCTGCTTGGCCGGACGATTGCGCGAATGCGTGTGTCTACGGCGGCTGCTGCCATTGCTCTGGCCATTGCCCTGGGCGCTATTACCGCTATTGCGACCGCCGTTGGCAACACCTGCCCTGCTCGATGCTCTCGATGACCGACCCGACGGCAGCGTATTGGCCCTCGAAAGTGTTCCGTGGCTCTGCTGCTGCGGTTGCTGTTGCTGGGTGCTAGTCACAGGCAGACCCAGCTTCTCGCGCTGCTGCTGGTTCGGCACTACAATATCTTCCGGCAGCGGGGCAATCGGCCGCCAGATGGCCCTTTTGCCGGCATCTGTAGCACAGCCGGGGCCGCCTACGCCGTGCGTCCGACTGCACACGCAGCATGCTCGACAGGTGCTCGAGCTGATCTGCTAAGCAGTTGAGATCAGCCGCAGACTTGACGTCCTTCTCGCCGTCGCCGTTGCTGCTAGACGCCGAGGGCGCACGGTCAGCTGCCGAGGGCGGGTATGGCGGAAGCCCCGACAATGGCCCGTCCTCACCACCGCTGCTGAGGTCAAATGTGCGGAACACTGACCCGCGCGCGGCCTGCAGCGACGCCGATGAGGACGACCGTGGCTGCGTGCTGTAGCGGTGCATCGAGTTGAGCTGGTAGCCACCATTGGTCTCTGAGCCCAGGGCAGATTCGGCCCTGCTATATACCGACATGCTTTGGCGATGGTGCTGCTGCCGGGCGCCTTGGTACGTGTCAGGCGAAAACATACCCGAGCCATGTCCCTGCGTCTGCTGCTGCCCAGTGAGCCACGGTGACGACGATTGCGCGCGCGTCCGAGAAACAGTGCCGTTGCCGCTGCTGTACTGCATATTGGAGTACCCCGCGTCGTCGTCGTCCAGCGAAAACGTCGCACCGTTTGATGTTGCACCCCGCACCATCCCTGCACTTTTCCCATCAACTGTACGCAGTGCCTCTCCGGCATCGTCCTCTTCTTCGTCCGAGTCATATTTGAGTGCGGGGAGTGTGAACGTGCATGCCAGCGTATCGGGTGTCATGTCTCGCGTGCTTCCGTCGAAGCTCTCGGGCTCGTCAAACGTCGCTGGGCTGGCCAGCAAAAGCTCGGCGGGCTGGTGGCTTTTGCTGAACTGGTCCGCCATGTTTGGCGTGTCGGCGTCCAGGTTCCCCAACGGTGGCGGAGCCAGCAGCGGCACAACCTTGGCTATCCTGTACATCTGATCGGGCGCCACAAACCCGATGGCCTTGTCGATGCTGTTGGGCCGACGCAGCGTCAGCTGCATCCGGACCGCCAAGTTGCGCAGGCCCATCATGTAGAGCTGCGTCAGCACCTGCGTGTCCAGGGCATGATCGACCACCAATGTTGAGACTGTGTCGATGAATCTCTCCGAGTACTCGGACCCAGACTCCCCCGCGAGCTGCCGGATGCTCAGCAGATCCCTCAGCTGCCGCTCGTGCACATACGCATCAGAGTACTCGAGCAGCAGCGCTGCCTTCAGGTTGTTCCACGACGATGGACCAACTACCTCCTCTGCTGGCTTGCTGGTCTTGGCCGCAGGGCCGGTCTCGGTCGGCTTGTCCGCTGCAGTACGCACTAGCGGCAACGTCTTGCGCGCGTCGCCTTTGATCATTGTCCGCGCATAGCAATATGCGACTTGGCTGGACCATTTGAAGTTTTTGCGCAATGCTTCGACGCTGGTGACAAACTCGCTGACATCCTCGCCAGGAGCTCCGCTGAACGACATGAACGCCGGTCCTTCTTCTTCCTCCATGGTCAGATATGTTCCCAGATAGTGCTAGAGATTGAAGTAAAAACAGGTGGTAGGGAGCGAGAAGAAACAGCGCCAAGAGTGCAAGGCGAGACAAGGGGTTTTAGGGAAACTCAGCGGGGTCGAGTAGAGCCAAATTAGAGTGCTGGAAGCAAGGGGCCACGTATGTGGGAAGAAGCGATAATGCCAATATATTGCCTGGAGACGTGAGACGAGCGAGGGGTTAATAAACGTTGCTGTGTGTGGAGAGAGAAGAGAAAATTAGGCGAGGTCGCACAGGAGGGCACCACGTCCATGCCCTCGCAGAAAATCCTCAGCCTACTCTGGCCCGGAGCACTGGTGATCAGCCCGCCCGGTGATTGACTGATTTCTGTGATCAGGTACTGGCGCTTTGCGGGCGGCACAGGCAAAACACCCAATATATTCGGCCCGCGCTCGAGCTCACCCTTTTCTTTTTGAATTCGTTCAATCTTTTTGCAGTCTAGGTGCGTATCTAATTTTTGAGTATCCGGGCGCGGAGCAGCAGGAGGCAGGGCGACGATGGATTCGCCTGCGCCGGTGGCAGAATCGGCACCGTCAATAGATGCGACAGCGAATTTTTGGACTAAACCCACCCGCAAATTTCGACCATCCAACTTGAATCCTGTAGCTCTTTAAATTTTTAGCGCATTACCGCCAAAAACCCCACGAACACTAATTCAAAGATGTCGTCCAAGGGAGAGAAGAAGGCCGCTTACTTCACCAAGCTCGAGAACCTGCTGACTTCGTACAAGTCGATCTTCGTTGTCAACGTCGACAATGTCGGTTCGCAGCAGATGCACATGATCCGTCGCTCCCTGCGCGGTGTGGCTGAGGTCCTCATGGGCAAGAACACCATGGTCCGCCGTGCCCTGAAGATCCTGGGTCAGGACAACGAGGCTCTGGAGTTCCTTGCCCCGTTCGTCAAGGGCAACATCGGTTTCGTCTTCACCAACGGCGACCTCAAGGAGGTCCGCGAGCTCATCATCGCTAACCGTGTCGCTGCCCCCGCTCGTGCCGGTGCTCTTGCCCCGGTCGATGTGTTCGTCCCTGCCGGTAACACTGGTATGGAGCCCGGACAGACCTCGTTCTTCCAGGCCCTCGGTATCCCCACCAAGATTGCCCGTGGTACCATTGAGATCACCCAGGACGTGCATCTTGTCCACATCGGTGACAAGGTCGGTGCTTCCGAGGCTACCCTGCTCAACAAGCTGAACATCTCGCCCTTCACCTACGGTATGTCTGTCACCCAGATCTACGACAACGGCACCACTTTCTCGCCGGCTGTTCTGGACATCACCGAGGAGGACCTGATCAAGCGCGTTGTCGAGAACATCACCGCCATCGCCGCCATCTCGCTCGCCACCAACTACCTGGCTCTGCCCGCTGTCCCCCACATCCTCATCAACCAGTTCAAGGACATCCTGGCTGTTTCGGTCGCCACCGACTACACCATCGAGGCTGCCGAGTCGGTAAGTATCTGCTGTCTATGCCACACTGTACCATGCTTGTGTGTATGCTGCCAATGATGTTCAAATACGTGAACAATCTATGAGGAAGCCTGTGATTTCCAAATACTCTAATTTTTTCCTGAGGCCATCACACAAGCAGCCCGCTATGCTGCTGGACTCTGCATTCCCCAGAAACATCTGTGTTTGCTAACGACGACACCCACCCGCTGTCTTATCGCTATAGATCAAGGAGCTGCTCGCTAACCCCGAGGCCCTTGCCGCTGCTGCTGCCGCCGCCGCCGCCACCGCTGCCCCCGCTGCTGGTGCCGCTGCCGCTGAGGAGGCCGCTGCCGAGGAGGAGGAGGAGTCCGACGACGACATGGGCTTCGGTCTGTTCGACTAAGTTGTCTCCAGCTCTTCTCGAGTGCAACAACCGCCGCATCTCTGTCGCTTTCGTTGTGATGCCGAGCGCTAGGAATTCAAGGACCCATGGTTTTTAGCTTTTGCAGTTTTCGGCATTGGAAATTGACAGTATGCTGGCATTCTTTAGGAACACATCACGTGCATGCACACAGCCATTGTTCGTGTTTTCTGTCACTGGCATAAAGTCAATGGTCCCGCTGAGAGAGCGGCGTGGCGGGAGGCCAGCAACGGCTTGGACACCGAAAACGAGAGCGAGGCTGACTGCAACAATGCAGCTGCAGAATGAATTGCTGGCTGTTCATACGAGAGTTGCGCACTTGACTACTAGTTCGATGGAGCTCATGGCGCAATTCGTCTGTTGACATCTCTCAACTCCACGTTGCAGCGCCGTTGTTTCTCAGTTCCTTCAAAGTATCTGTATATGTGGCTAACACAAATATGGCCAGCTATTTACACGCTTTGTAGTGTGTAAAAGGAATGCGCACAACGTCATTGCGCACATTGAGCCGCCCTCGCACGCCTTCCAGTGCATAAGGATGGCATGTACCTTGTCTGCAGACTAAGCCATCTGCCGGTTACTTTCGAATGCTGTCGCTGGCCTCTGTGAAAGCGTGTCTCCAGTCAGTGAATTGGCTATATAAGCGAAGATTCCTTTGGATGTTGTGGTTGCTCCTCATGCCAATAGCTCTTCCTTAATTCGTGTATCCTCCACGTCCCTTTATAATGCGTTCGATCTCGCTCATCCTCCTTGCCGCTACCTCGATGGCCCTTGCGGCTCCCCTGGGTAATGACGTCCCTGCTGATGCTGCTCAGGCAGGCGCTGGTGTTGGTCCTGGCCCAGCCTCTGGCGCCGGTGTTGGAGCTGGACCCGCCCCAGGACCTGGACCTGATACCGGTGCCGGCCCTGCTCCGGGACCTGGAGCTGGACCTGCTCCTGGCCCTGGCGCTGGCCCTGGACCTGTTCCGGGACCTGGCGCTGGCCCTGAGCCTAACATTGGTCCTGGTCCAGGACCTGCTCCTGGTGCCGGTCCTGCTCCTGGCGTTGGACCTGCTCCTGGACCTGGCGCTGGACCTGCTCCGGGACCTGGTGTTGGCCCTGAGCCTAATGTTGGTCCCGCTCCGGGACCTGGTCCTGCTCCTGGGCCTGATGCCGGCCCTGGTCCTGCTCCAGGACCTGGTGTTGGTCCTGGTCCTGCTCCGGGACCTGGCGTTGGTCCTGGTCCTGCTCCGGGACCTGGCGTTGGTCCTGGTCCTGCTCCGGGACCTGGCGCTGGCCCTGAGCCTAATATCGGTCCTGCTCCAGGACCTGGTCCCGCTCCGGGGCCTGGCTTTGGCCCTGGTCCTGCTCCAGGACCTGCCGGTCCTCCGGGCCCTGAAGGCCTTGCCGGTCCGCCGGGCCCCCATGGTGCTGGTGGCTTCCCTGGTCCTGCTGATCCAGTCGGCCCTATTGGTTTTGCTGGCCCTGTTTTCCCTGCCGGCCCAGGGCGGTTCCCTGGCTTTGACGATTTCCCAGGCGTGGGTGGCTTTGGGGATGCCCACTTTGCTCAGGCTATCATCGATAGAGTCAACCACCAGATCCAAGACGGTACCATTATCCAGATCCAGCACTAGACCCTCATACTACGCCTTTCATTAATTCCACAGGATTCAACATACGCCTAGTACTAAAGAAGGGGCTGTGCATCTTACAACCGTTTCATATACTATGTTGCATTTCGCCAAACCATACCCATTTTGTTCTGGTTCTCCTCCAAAGGAATCCTCAAGTAGGGGGCAAATACTGCTGCGCACTAACATCAGTGTGTCTATTTTCCTGTTGTTGTCGACTACGCATTTCAAAACACCCCTGCTCATCGTTCTGGTGCAGCTGCATTTCTCAATCAAAGTGTGGACCATGGTTTGGCAGGCAATAGCACTGTGGGGACTAATTCTGCCTCGCTACTTGCACTCAGTGCACACAAGCAAATCCCGACATCACTTCATACCGCTGGTGGTCCTGTCAGTCCTGTTGTCTTCCCCGCAGTTATTTGTCCTCCTACCTTTTGTATTTGTAGTTTCAGCCCATCTGCTGACATGGCCGTCAGACTTGCTACCAATCTATGGCCTGGGACCGCTCGAGATCATTATCCGGGTGCATCTACTGTTGTGGATACCAGTGCAAGCGCTGACCATGGTTGTCCTAAGCACCCTTCCACTGGGACACTGCATCCGCGGAATTCGGCTGATGTGCATGTCGCGACCGCTGTTGCTACGAATTTAACAGCGATTCAAGCCCAAGCGGTTTACATGTGCATCTGACGGCAGACCTGCAAACCCGCAATAGCTTTATTTCTAAATATATTCGCTTCTACTTTGATGTGTTGCTTGACTCTTGAACTTTTTTAGTGGCCCTGGAGAAGGAATCAAAGCACATCATTGTCTGTCTATCAAACATCCATTCAAAATCGGGCGTGTCAGATTTGCGGTGCAGAGCAGTTCCCTTCTTGCATTCCTGAACAGAGTTCAGCGAGGGGCAAAGCAACATAAGCACGGCATAAGATGCTAGATGTGCCCACTGGTCCTGCTTACCGGAAATATCACCGAATATCTGGACAAGACTCTCAGAAGCCGGGTACTGGATGTCATAATGTGCTTGGATATCAAACAACACGCTGGATAGTTGACCCAGATGGTCGCGGACAAAGTAAGGTAAATAGCGGCCGCGCATGCTTCTGATTCTGTCGCTATATCCAGGTTTTTGCGTGCATGGTCCCCGGCATTTAATATGGTGGATACTGTAACCATGTAGATCGTCTGTTACTTGTAGACTGGCACCGAAGTGTGTCAGGCAGGTGAGGTGTTTGATTAGCTCGAGCTGTTGGCCAAGAGTAAAGCCAATGAATCTCATATCAAGAACCTTGATATAGCGCCCAATATCCGAATATTGTAGCTGCACGGAGCTGAAATCTGTGAAGTAATTGGTGCTTTTGACGATTCGAGCATTTTGTCCCATGCTGAATATCAACTGCGCCATGTCACTTTCATATCCCTGATAGTGGTACGCAGATATGAAACTACTGTCACTATCATCGCTATCATAACCGTCAGGATCAAGCTGCATGTAGTCGTCGCTGTCAGTGTCCAGCATGGTCACCTCCGCGAAATGCAGTGCTGGGAACCGTCCGATTCTAGCTACGCCGTCGCGAGTGAGTGCCCTAATAACCGGGGGTGTAACATGTATGCGGACAACCTCCAGCCTATCCTCGTTTCCTCTGAAGAGAATGTCGTTTGCGAATGGGTACTCTGGAATGCACACAAGATGCTGGAGGGACGGGAATGGCGTTCCCTCAGGGGACTGATACACCACCTGCTTCCTGGTATACATGAGCGTATCTAGATCTAGAATGAGTGTCCGTACACGAGGATATTCGATAGGCCTGCCGTCATGTCGGACAAGAATGTCGCGGAAAGCTTCAGGTGTATCATCCGAGACACAGAGGTATTCGAGCGTTTCTGAATGGCGACGGATGAGCTCGATTTTCGGTTCCGTTGGCCATACACCTCCTACCGATAAGCTACGGATACTGGTAGGATTAACTGACAGCACCTTGTCAAGAGCAGGGTAGGCACCGATTGTGTGCACCGAAGGAATACCGGCGAATAGCCCAGAGAGCAGTCGCTTTATGAAAGTCTCGTGGTAGTGCCAGTATTGGAATGCCAGATCTGAGACCGCAACGCTATGGGCACCTGGGAACATCCGCCGAATTTCGTCGCAGAACAGTACTGCAGGTGCTGTTTCGCTGAGCAAGATGAACTTGCTACGGTCGGTGATGCTGCTGAAGTGGAACTCGAGGCTCCTCACTCCAGGGACAGCGAGCCCTGCAAATGCTGCATTTCTAAGAGTATCGATAGCAGCACCGCTTGCTATATCCTCGATCCGACAGTGTATCTTTGCTATTCTTGCAAAGCCTAGATGCCCAGATCCTAGCGCATCCGCGAATGTCCTAAGTGAGGAGCAGCCGTTCCTTCTGCAGCCTGCACAGAGGCTGCACTCAGGGTCGTTACACCAGTATACTTCGCAGTAGACAGTGCTCAATGCCAAACTCCTCCACCAGCGACACACGCCAAGCAGCAGCACCGCATGGCGATATGGGAAACAGATGCAGTGGTGGTAAGGAGGCTCTGCGGCACCTGTTGCATAAAGTGCATAGCCAATGACCTTCTCAAGAATAATACTCGGGATCTGCTGAGCGACCGATGTCATAGTAAGAATACCGGAAAGGAATGCTGTCCAAAAGGGTATTTATTTTTAGGCTACAGGGGCTTTTTGACGCATTCATAAACTAGCCAAACGCCATTGTGGGGACAACATCAGTCGTGCAGGCTACATTATAATCGACACCTGATCCAGTCGAGTAGACTAACGAGGGAGAGCAATGTATATAGCTGAAGTGCTCATACTGTATCCGTGCATAAGGTAGTGTTGGTTATATTCTGTAGACTCTATGGCAGCCAGTATATTATTCGGAATAGTCAGCCACCCAGTCAAAGCTATACTCTTTGCTTGTGTCATACTCCAGCTCTGACATACCCAAGTCACCGCTCGGGCTATCTGCTAGTACTGAAATATCAAACTCGTAGCTGCCATCCGCCAAGTCTGATATAGTCGAGTCATACTCGCTACTAAATCTGCGAATCTCCTGTCGAGCGTATCCTATCTCTTTGAAATGGATGTCCTTGCAGTGCCTGGTGTAGGGGCTGTTATAGGGGATACCAATGTAGAAATTGACCATATGTTTCACCCCCTCCAAAACAAATGGGTTAGTTGCAAATGTGACGAGGCTGGGAACGCGCACCACAAACTCAGCAATACTGGCGACATCGTTGTCCTCAAGGTCGTATGGATACTGCTCGAGATCGTACAGTCCCTCACCCATCACTCGATGGTCAAAAACTGCAAGATATTCGAGGCACGTATGAAGCGGCTTGCTAATGTCGCCACTCTCAGCCAGCGCTCTATAGGGGTGGATCATAAGTGGATCACACTCAAAATACAAACCGATGGAAAGGTGGCGGAGCCTAGGGAGGTTACCAATCCAGTCAGCAGCATGGGGCTCGACGAGAACCCCGGCCAAGTTCAACACTGTGATATTGCCAAAGCTCAGGTTCCCGCTAAAGTCGAACTCTCCGTGTCCCCACTGCGCCAACTCAAAGTAATCCAATGTTTCTGGCAACTGCTGAAGCGCTATTTGGCTAAAATCGTGTGGCAAGTTGGGATCCGAAAAGTTTCCTTGGATGGCATCCCTGCTGACAACAAGCGATCGAAGACCTTCTAGCAGCGAGTAGTCAAAGTTATCTGGCGAGAAAAGTAATGATATCATACCATCATGGGTGAGATGCTGCAGGAGGTAGAGACTCTTCAGTTGCCCCTTGAATGGCACCAAGAACTCGTTGACAAAGAACTCTTCACCAACACGAAAGCCTGAGCTATTGAAGATTACAGTCTCAAGGTTTGGAAAGGCATCTGCTAGCTGTGCATTGAGATCGGCTGGGAATCCATCGTCAGCTTCCTCGCTGTCAATAAACAGGCTCAGTGTCTTAACTGATGTCCATGGTGCTTTGAGCGGATCCAGCGACAGCAAACTCGTGTATGCGTCTCGCAGGGACACGTTCTCCTCGCACAGGCTAATAACGACCTCATCGACTCGTGCTAGGCGGCGCTGTTCGATCTGAATATCAGCTTCACCCATGAGATCGATTTTTTCCAGGTTTGAGTCGACCACGCCTTCACCTTTGTAGAAAATCAGCGCCTTGCGTCGGTATGCGTCATAGATGGATGTGCGAACCTCGGGAAGCGCGTCACTCATGGTCACTAGCGTGGTGTTGTAGTCATGGTGAGAATAAAGGGGGTTCCGAAGATAATCCTCGAACACAAGAGCAAAGATAGGCTCGGCTATCCCAGCGGATTGAAGTGCCGTAAAAGACATGTCTGGCTACGAATAATGCAAATGCGGTATTTTGATGTATCCAGCGCAAAGTGAGCAAATTCGTGTTTTACGACACCTGCATGCGTTATGGCCGAGTGCTTATGATTAGCAATCCCAGATGTTGTTTGGTGTGAGTAGTAATGTTGTGAAAAGGTGGTTTGAAGGTTTCTATTCAGCAAGAACAGAGAGAGAGAGAGAGAGAGAGAGAGAGAGAGAGAGAGAGAGAGAGAGAGAGAGAGAGAGAGAGAGAGAGAGAGAGAGAGAAGACAACGGATGCCAAGGGCCAGCCTTTTATCATCTCCAGCACCACACCACAACAGTATGATGAAAGCGATGCGCCAGGGGGCAAGTGGCCATTGTGCGCCTCAAAGATCCAAGGCTGAGTATCGTAATGCGAATCAGCGCCAGATCGTCCATCATCGCACACCTGGCTCGGGGTTTAGTGCTTGGCACAAAGCCTTATGCCAGTGTCTACCGACTCAAGCATGTAATGTACTGAAGACGGTAGTCACATGCAGAATGGCATTTATTGCGTCTAGAATTCGAAGCCGATGAGCATGTTGTCAATGAGGCGGGTGGTGCCCATTCTCCAGGCGCCCGAAAGGATAGCACCTGAGCTAGTGACACTGTCGACCTCCTCCAGGGTATCTGGGTCGCTGAGGC